TAAAAAAGCAGGATTAAAGGAGTGCGGGAAAATTATTAAGGGAAAAGAAAATCACATTAATTACCAGGCCTAAGATTCTTTTATGGAATTATCATTATCTTAAATTATTATAATAACCAGAGATAAAGAAAATTTTCGAAGATTTTGAAAAAATTTTTAAGCAATAAAAATAACAAAAAATTAACTTTATAAAATTTTGGGTATCAAATGAATTTGAGCATTCTCTATAAAATCAAAATTTCTATGATCAAAGTCTTTGAATTTCGAGAATGACCCATAATCAAGATGCCTTTGAATCGATTAATGAAACATTACACAATATTGGAGAATCACAAATTAAAAGAAAACGTTTAATGGAGAAAAAATACCTAAAAATAAAATTCAAAAGATTGAAAAAGCAATAAAGAGTAAGGTTTTAGAAATATCTGATTCCGAGAATGATAGTTCAATGAAAGAGGAAATTCTTATTATATTAAAGGATAACTTTGATAAATTATCAAAAAATTAACAATATCAAATTCTTAAAATTTTACCTCAAAAATGGATGGTAATAAAATTCAAGAGGAATTCAACATAACATACATGGCATGAAAATCCAAAATGGTGGTAAAAGAAAGTGTAATTCTTTCATTCCCAAAACATAATGCAGGAAAGACACTAAACGAAAAAACATTTAAACTCTTCAAGGATTTTTATAGTTCTGATGAAATAAGCCGACTCATGCCCGGAATAAAAGATTGTGTATCTGTTAAAGGCGAGAAAGAAACTAATATTGAATAATCTTAAAGAAATATTCAAGATATTTAAGGAATAATACCCAAATATATTAATTGGATTCTCTAAATTTGCCGTTAGGCCAAAAAACTGTATTTTAGTTGGAGCTAGTGGCACACACTGTTTGTGTCTGCGCCATTCATCATAATGTGAAATTAATGACAAATGTAATTGTAATCATAGCAGTAGAAGATTACTGTATAAATTCTTAAAACTATCTTTTGGCGCAAATTATTTGTAATCCCTCTCACCCAAAATGTTATTTAACAGGGCCAATATACCAATTGTATAAGAGAAATCGTATAGAATATGTTACGTTTAAACAATGGATAACGGTGGATAGAGCAAATCTTGGAACTATTATAAAGTCCTTTGATGATTTCATCGATTATCTATTAGAAAAAGTTCAAATTTTACTGCGTCACTCTTTTATAGCTAAACAACAAACTTATTTTTGAAGAATTAAAGAAAATTGAAAAGATAAAAAATTTTTAACAATTCTAGATTATTCAGAAAAATATTCCTTTATTTTACAAAATGAAATTCAGGGATTTCATTTGAACAACGTGCAGGCCACTATACACCATATTATAAATCTGGAGAAGATTTAAAATATATTAATTTTGTTATTATATCCTAATCATTAAACCATAATACTAGTGAAGTCCATCTTTATCAAAAAATTTTTATTAATTTCTTAACAGTCAAATTTAATTCTAAACCAGAAAAAATAATATATTTTTAAGATGGAGCCGCGTCTCAATACAAGAATCGCTAAAATTTTCTGAACATATGCCTTCATAAATACGATTTTAATATTCCTGCCGAATGCCATTTCTTTGCCACTGCTCACGGCAAAATGCATGTGACGGTATCGGAGGAACTGTCAAAAGATTAGTTGCCAGAGCTAGTCTTCAAAGGCTAAATAAAAATCCAATCCTAACCCCATTAGAATTATATAATTATGCTAAAGAAAATATTAATGAAATTCAATTTGTATATGTATCCAATCAAGAATATATAGAAGGGGAATTAGCCCTTCGTAAAAGATTTAATTCTGCACCGTTCATACATGGGACCCAAAAAATTCACGGGGTTATTCCCATTTATCAAAATAGACTAAAAACCAAAATATATTCAAATTTCAAAATATATAATATAAAACAAGTTTCGTTTATAAATGAGAAAATTATATTTAAAAATATTAATAGATATGTAACATGTGTATATGATGATAAATGGTGGGTAGGATTTATAATCTAAAAAATGATACAAATGAAGAGGTAAAAAAACCGATTTTTACTTGAGCCTCATTTAAATTTCCTCTGAAAGATGATATTTTAGTGTTGCCCAAATCTCATATTCTCTCGCTAATTAATCCTTCTACTCCCACCTGTCGAACATATATATTATCTCCTGAAGAAATCTTACAAGCTAGCCAGGCTTTGTATTCCTTTAGATGAAGTAAGATTTAATTAATTTATAAAATATCTTAATTAGGCAAAATTTGTGAAGATTTTAAAAATTTCATGATCTGAATTACAAATAAATATATATAATGCACATTGTAATCGATTTAGTATGATATATATACATTAAAATATTTTTAATCAATAAAAAAAATGAATTTTAACATATTAAAACTATTATATATAGCGCCATCTATTTTCTTAATGGTATAAAATCGCAATAATTTTTAAAATAAATATCCAGCCACGCTAATTGTTGAATATATTATTAAAAAAATAGTAAATAAATTATTTCTTAAAAAAATTTAAAATTGGAGATCATATTCATTTCCAAATATTAATTTCAAATTTTCAACTAACCATGATGACCCATATTTAAAAAAAAATTAATTTTAATGTTTTCGCCATAATTATCAATTATTAACTTAGCTATTAATAAGATTTAATATTTGATCATATTTAGTTTTAAATTAAAAATTAGTTATTTAATCAGTAAAAAGCTAAAAAAGACGCTTTTTGGACCTTTAACCCCGATTATCTCCGCTAATATAGTTGCTAATGCGCTAAAATTTTGTTCCTGACATATTTAACCTTTTTTTAAAAATGTTCTTGTTATATGCACAAAGAGGTAAACGGAAAATAATTCCCTGATATAAAAACTTTCCGGAAAAAATAGCCTGGAAGATATTTCCCCGGAAACAGAAAATAATTCGGTGAAAATATTGCCCATTTTTTTGATATTAAAAAATATTAGTTGAAAAATAATTCCCCGAAATAAGCAAAAATCCTTTAATAATTTTTTTATTTCAAAAATAACCCCTAAAAATTCGAAATTTTTTTTATAAAAGTTCTTTTATATAATTAAATATTTTGCAATTTCTATATATAAAAAATCCCTCAAGTTGAAATAAATTTTTTTTTCAAACTCAATGCTAATACATAACTGAAACTTTTATCACCATTTATAACAGCGAAACTTTTATCACCAATTTATAACAGCGAAAATCTTATAGAGAAGACCAAACATATCTCTTCTTAGACAATTTAGCGAAAACTATTTACGAATCATATATAACCATTTTATTAATGGGAAGTCTATCGCAAAAATAGCGCGAAAGCAATACTGCGATAATTTCTAATAGTGACTATTTTCTTAAAATCAATAAAAAAAACTATTTTATTCTTTTATATTTTTCTGAACAATTTATCTTTTAAACTGTTTTCTGGGCAATTCCGTCTTATCTGAGTATTAAGGAAAAATTTAAATTTCTTAACGTTTAAGAAGTGTTTCAGCTTTAATTTTGAGCGATTAAATAGGTCAATTTTAAAATTTTAGACTCGATAAATCTTATGTTTGATATTTTTATAATTTAGCATCGATAGTATAAAAGGTATTTAATGAGATTTTCTAAATTTTGGATAGAAAATGTGACACATAAGATGGAGTGGCTACGATGAAAATGAAACGATTACGATAGATTATTTTTACAATACTCAGATGAAAAAATTTAGGGATAATTATTTTATAAACGTGAATATAGAATATGAAGGAGTAAATTCATGGTAAACGATTCCTTATTATTTTATAGCGTTTTTTTGAAGGCACTTCTGAAAATCTAATTAAAATCTCTCAATTGTAAATTTAAAAAACTTATTTGAAAAGATAAATAATGTTATAATTTTTTTAAATTAAACTAGTTTCTAAATTGTAAAAACGAATTTATTTTTAAAAGAAAAAAACCGATCTGAAGGTATTTTTTATAAAATTTCTTCCAGTCATTATAAACTTTTAAAATTCTTTCGCATAAATATTTAAAAGTTGGGATAAAAATGCCAAAAATTTTTTTAATCTAGGCGATAATTTAGTTTTAGGGGGTATGATATAGTTAAGTATTAGTTTATTTTTTAATATTTTTAGCTTAAATTTCACTAAAACTTGGTTAGGAATAAGACCTAAACATTATATGGTTTCGGGTTAATCGATAATATTTTAAAAATTAAGTTGTTTCTTATAGCATTAACTACTTTCGCGCAAAGATGTGCATATTAAATATTTTAATTATTAAAATAAATAAAATATCTTCTTATCATAATAAAGCGTTTACATTGAACCCAAATGTAAACCAGCTATTTTTTAATTTGGTATATACTAACTAATAATATTTAAAATGACAAATATCAAAACTTATAAAATTTTATCGAAAAACATGGAATAAACCTTTTTTTAATTGAAAAATAAAATAAAATGATCAGTGAAATTTTCAACATGAATTTATCAAACAGGTTTTTGACACAAACTAAAAAAATAATAATATATTTAATAAAAAAACGCGAAGGGGTTTTTCTTGCTGATGTCACCGTCGATTGATATTCATAATAATTTTGGCATGTATGATTAGGTAAACGATTGATAATTAGGGGGAAAACAAAAAATGATTTGTGATGCAAGGTCATCTTATATTAAATACTTGATAGTTTAAAACAAAATATTTATGATGATCAGAACTTCCAATTTTTGCAATTATATTTTTAACGAATAGTTTCAAAAAATAACGCAAATAAAGATGGCTAAAAATGAATAATCGATTCATGGCTAATACCATGATTTCTTTCCATAAAAAGAAATTTTTTTATCAATGTTCATGCTATTATTACTCATAAATCGAATATTGTTTAAATGTTATACAACAAAATTCCTTTTGAAATTGATTTCTATAAATTTTTTTAAATTTTTTTTATTAATATTATATTGCCCAGGAAATGTACAATTACTCTTTTGGCAACCTTATCAATACCCATCCCACCTTCTAAGAATGATATCGATAAATTTTACGACAACAATGATAAAAATAGGAAATTAGCTGCCCTACTTGGGCTTGTTACTCCACCCACAAGACATTCTTTGATTCAAGATTTGGTTTCACTAAATTTTTATCATTCATCATTTTGTTTTGTTTGTCATACTCATGTGTAGGGCTAGCAACAATGGGTCATTCCATATCAAATTAATCACTATTACAACCTGACTATCCCTGATTTTGATAAAATTTGGTATATAAGTAAATAAAATGTAAATTGTGTATCCAAAATTTTAGCCTTCTAGCTCTATTAGAACTGGGTAAAATATTGGTTTTAAAAGTAATACCAATGTTACTCAAAAATTAATTTATATAAATACTTTTATCTCTTGATTTATTTACTTAATTTTTAGCCATATAAAAATATTTCCTTTATTTTTATTTCGAATTTGCAACAAAATATATTGGTACAATAAGTATTACTTTAGAACTATAAAATAATATATCGATCTCTTCTCTACATTTTTTATACAAGTTTAGCATCTGTGACAGTATGTTTTTCATCTTTGGAAATACATTCATATATAATTTATTTAGAATATCGTATATAAAGTTAATAATGTATGGAATTAAAATTTAAATAATGCTGACTGAAAACTTTTTACGAACCAGGAAAATCACACAGCTTTCACTACTTTTTGAAAATGATGATTCGGCCGACTCCCTTCTATTTTTTTAAAATTTGGTAAGCAAAGAAAGGTCAATGTAACTAAGAAATAGCCAAAATTTTATTCTCCTAACATTTATATTTTTGAAGATATTAGGGTTTAAAGTGGCAAAAATGACATATTTTTACCATTATCTGCCTTCATTCAATTAAGCATATCACCACATAATTTTAAATAACAAATTTAACATCAAAATTACGTATAAAGATTTTACTTTTAGATAAAAAAAAATTTCCCCCAATTTCCAGCCATTTTATTTAATATATAATGACTAAAAACGATTTTTTGGAAATAATACGACCTTCAGTTTTTTTTAAATTTAGTAGACATTATTAATTCTTCCTTTATATTTATAAAAAAAAATTCCTCTGGGACGAATCTTCATTCTCAAAATCGATTAAAATGTTTAGGAAGGTGTTTAAAATTTTCCCGAAAGGGGGCGTCTTTGTATAAAATTATATATTAATCAGTTTTTAATGGGTTTTTTGAACTATTTGATATAATTTAGAGTATTATTCATCTTGTAAGTGAAAATAACAATAAATGGGGCTTTCATTCAATTATTGAAATCGCCTATCGATAAAAGAAATTCAATTTATTACTTTATTATAAAATTTTTTTGCCCATATAACCTATTTAATGAATATTGATAAAATATATTCAACCAAGTTTATAGTTCTTGAATATATGAATTAGTGGTCTGCATCTGGCCTAATTTTTCAAGCCTGGCCCGGTCCGAAATTTTTTTAAAAAAAGTTTTGCCAGCCTGGCCCGAACCCAAAATTTTTTTTAAAAAAAATTTACCAACCCGGCCCTAATTTATTTAAATATAGAAATTAATTTTTATAATTACTCAAAATAAAAGACATATGTTATATGTCGTTTAGTTTCAATAAATAAAATCAAATATTTTTATTTTACATAAAAAATTCAATATAAAATTGATAAATTAAGATATATTTAAAAAAATTTCCAAGGTCCGACCCGGCCCAAATTTTTTTTTTAAATATTAGGCCCGGCCCGAACCCAATTATTTTAAATATAATTAAGCCCGGCCCGAAGCCCGTTCGCGTCGGGTATGGGTCGGGCCTAACTTTGCATATCTCTAATATGATTATCTTGTGCATTTCATATATGGCGCCCTAAATATTTAAAATAATTGATATTCCCCGTATTTTTTACGCACTTCGCTCAACTGCCATATTTAAATTCTCCATTTCACTTGGAGTTTATGATAATGGGATCAAAATCCTTATCGAAAATATTCTAAATCTTAAATTCGATGAAATTGCTTGGACACAAGCTTCTTTACCCACAAAGATGGGAGGTCTGGGCCTCAGATCTCCATCCGATCTCGCCTTAACGGCCTTTATATCCAGTTGCCTACTAACTAAAAACATAATAAATTCCAATTCTTTAAAACCCGACTCTTCTTTTAATGATGCAATCATCGAATGGAGGACACGAATTTCTGCTGATCACCCTCTTCCTGAATCTAATAAGCAGAAGGACTGGGATAGGCCTATTATTGCACTCTGCGTTGAATCACTCCTTTCCAGAATGCAATTATCTGACCGTCTTTTATTCTCTTCTTTGCTTAATGGTTCAGGCCATGAGTTTCTCGAGGCCATTCCGTCTATTAATCTGCAATTACAACTAAATAAAAACGAGCTCACACATGCAATCGGTATCCGTTTAAATTGCCTTATTACCCAACCCCGCATATGTTTAGGTTGCGGCTCCGCAGTTTTGGGCAATGGAAGACATAGTCTTCATTGTCGCTCATGTAAAGGTCGAATTGTAAGACATAATCTATGCAATTCGATCATTCTTAGAGCTCTTAGATCTGCTCAAATCCCCTCCACTCTTGAACCATCCGGTCTTTTCAGATCTGATGGGAAACGGCCTGACGGTATTTCGCAAATTCCTTGGAAGCGCGGTCAATTCCTGGTCTGGGACTATTCTTGTATTGATCCACTCGCTCCATCAAATCAAACAGTCAATATACTCGAGAAAAAGGAGACACTCAAAATAGCGAAATATTCCGAAATTTCTCAAGAATATATTTTCATCCCCATTATTTCCACTACCCTTACTACTTTTGGGAAATATGCCTTATCCTTTTTCAAGGAACTCGGCTCCCACATTCGTCAACTAAAGGTGAACCCCGTGAGGGCTTCTTCTTAAGGCAAAGGCTCTCCATAGCGACACAAGACTAATTATATTAGCTTCATAAGCAGTCTCTCCCCACAAGATTATCCTTCCTAACCTCAATATATTTATTTTTATTTTTTTTTTAACACCGTCACAAACATATCCTCCAATACTATATTTATTTATTTTTTTTATATGTATATAAATATATATACAAATAATAATTATTCATAGAATATATTTATTTGAATCTTTTGTTTATATAGTATTATAAAAATAATATAACTAACAAATATATATATATTAATAATTATAATTGAATAAGTTTATATATATATATCTAGAAAAAATATATATAAAAATATATAACTCACTTTTAAAAGATTCTAATTTTCTGGTAGCACACTTACTTTCTTGTGACGACAATGTATAACTACGGCCAGTAGCAATTAACGGTGAAACGAATGTTAAGATATGACATTTTGGCAAGCAAAGAGTGTCGTCTATACTTGGAAATGTAATGGAATTAGAAGGTCCGGATGGGTGTAAAAACTTTATATTTATTTCTTCCTGCTTTTGATTTTCCCTAAAACAAAGGCTAACCATCGATTAGAATCATAAACACGCGTTATGTATCCTGATATTTCTCCAAAAATTATACTTTCATCATTATATGTTAAATATTTTATAGGCTTTCTATTGAATTGGAATACATTTTACTTTTAAATTGATGTAACCTGTTGGAATCACGGTGTGAATTTTCTGTGTTCCAGGTATAGGTCTAGGTTTTGGAAATCTTTCCCTGAGCAATAGTTTTCCGTAATCATATTTTTTTTGAGTCATATATTCAAAATATATGCCATTAATATTTTCTTTAGCAAACTCGTACAATTCATATGATGTGGTTATTTGCTTTGATTAAGGCTTTTGTAAATTAGCTCTAGCGGCTAATCTTTTAACAGTGCCACCACATCACAATAACTTTTCCCATGTGCTGTAGCAGAAAATGCCATTCCGCCTGTACCTCGAAATCCATCTCATGATGGCAAATATTAATATACTGTGCAGCAGATCCATCGGAAAAATAAAATTTTTTATTTGGCATACATAATTTATTAATTAAAAAATTTAACAATGTTTTTTGGAAATAATGTACTGCTATTGCATTGTGTTGCAAAGATTCGGATATTATTACATAATTTAGGCAACAAATATTTATAATATATAACAAAAGGATGAACAGTGGATTGAGCCCTATTCCAATGATAATTTTGTACTTCATCCTGAAGTATAAAGCTATAATTTTCTGGAAAATACATAAAATTAAATATTGGCCTTCGTCTAAATTCAGTTTTAGATTGTTTTGATACAACGATTGTTGCGTTGAAATAAAAGAATGGGGTAATAAAGATTCCATTTTTCAAAAAAGGCATCGATAAATTCATCTACTGGCTTGGTTATTGTTTCAAGAGTGGTTCTATCTACGGATAGCCATTGTTTGTATGTTATAAATTTGATGTCCTTAGAACGAAACAACATTTCTATTTGATCGCTTAAATGTGTTGACTCTGGATCACATTTCCCATATAACAGGATGGTTGAGGCGGGTTATAAATTATTAATGGTAAAATATGTTTGTATGTTCTAAAGGGCAACATATCATCTTTGGTTGAATTGGGTAAATTTTATCCAATGATCATTAATTTAAATGTTTGGGTAGCTAACACATACATTATATGCACCACTACTTCCAACGAGTATACAATTTTTTGGGCGAATGCTTGCAAATTTAGAAAAACCGATTTTAACATCAGGCCTCATTTCTTTAAAAAATATATAAATATATTTCAAATTATCTAAAATTAATCTCTTTTGTATGGTATTCTTTTTTCCGTCTTTGGTCAAAATCGAAACGCAATCTTTCTTGCCTGGCATGATTCTGCTTATTTCGTCCGTACAATAAAATTCTTGTACAATTTTAACTGTATATTCGTCTATAGTTTTTCTAGGCTTGGGGTTAGGTGTTGATAAAAATCCCTTTTCCGCTATCAATAATTTAGCTTGTCTTGCGATGTATTTTGTTATATTAAATTCATTCATTATTTTGGACACTGTCCAATTTTCTGGTAATATTGTCAAAATTTTATATTGATAAGTTTTAGATAAGAGTAGGAATTTTTTTTTAATATTATCAATATTAGCTGGCTCAATCGCATTTATATCTAAATGAGATTCTA